GATTGTATAATTCATATCTACATATATATGTGTCTATATATCTTTTTGTTTATTTTTATATAAATTCCTTATTCAATGTTACATGCTGTTATAAAAATTATTATTTTAGGAGGGGGGGGGGGGGGGGAGGTGGCTGTTAGAGTCCATCAATATTGACCTGAATTTCTTTTAGAAAATGTGTTGTCTTGTTCTAACAAATACAATTCTAATCTGTTTTAATTACTAAAAAACGATCAACTGAATATAAAACATCTTTCCTAAGATATATTTCCTCTGAGGCAGGTGCGTGTATGTTATATTACTATTAGATTTTGTGAATAAAATTGATCGTTTTACATATCTGTTTGCTATTAAGCATTTCAATGATATAAAATTTATAAACCGTATTTAGATATTGTTTATGTATAGACCAAGTCGGAAAGTCACGTGATCATTTATTGCCATTATGAAATAGGGGAAAACAAATAAAACAAACGCAACGATTCTTAACAGTTATCACAATTTTTCAGTTATTCTTTTATATTTATTATTATGGCATCGGTATATGAGTATTTAGAAAATCTGGATGCGATATCAAAAGAAAGATACGATGAAAAATTAGCATTACTTGGTAGGTGTTTGTATTTAATCTCTAGTTATAATATAACTTACAATATAGACCTTTTAATACGTTTTTGTCAAATCCATAATAAAAAATTTTATTATAACTTATATTTTTACTATATCTATTCGTGTTATTTTATTTTTTTTTAGTAAAAGGTAATTAAAATATAAATTGTATAAAAAAGTTATAAAGTATAAGTTCTAAAGACTTTAGGACTTTAAGATTTTATATACTATGTTACATTTAAAATAACTTAAAAATGATTAAAGTAAATTAAATAAAATTATAAACGCACTTAAGTAAAGTGCGTTTATAATTTTATTTGATTTACTTTAATCATTTTTAAGTTATTTTAAATGTAACTTAGTATATAAAATCTTTAAATGAAAATGCTAAAACATTTGGCATTATGTAAACCATGTTTGGTTACTTGAGTAAATTGATATATTTCTATCTTGTTAGGTTTAAATCAATGCCCTTACAAATTTCCTGCAGACAAGTGGCTTGACAACCCAAACGATTGGTCACCACTGAGTTATCACCATTTATATCACTACCTCATCAAGACTCCACGTAAGTCTTACTGCAACAAATAATTTATTAAGTTTAATAAATGTTTGAGATTTCATAAAATTTTATTTAGTTTTCACTTTTAAAATTTTAGGCTCACCAGAGCCTATTTTTACTCACCAGAGCCATTTTTACTCACACAGAGCCATTTTTACTCACCAGAGGCAATGGAAAACTTTAAGTCACTTGATGCCTGGAATTTTTTTAGATCAGGCTGGGTTCAAAAAATTGTTCACTTTAAATTGGATAGTGGTGTATGTATTATGTGTGCTGATGTGAGGCCATCTTACCGGACTACTGATAAATGTCACAAGCCATGGGTAGCTCTAAAATCAGATGGGACTGTTCTGGCAGGTCATTGCAATTGTATGGCTGGGTAAGTAATACACATACTTATTATTAAGAATGTGATAGTTATGGTGAATATACTTTATATTAATGTTGGTGAAAACTTCTTTCATTTAAAATTTTGAAAATCAACTATATAGTTTTAGTAGATTTGATTTAATAGTTACTTATATTTCGTTTTAAGTCTTGGTGAAACATGCTCTCATGTTGGGGCTGTATTATATAAGATTGAAGCTGCAGTGCGAATTGGTTTAACATCATCCACTCCAACTGAGTTACCCTGTATGTGGAATCAATTATTTGTCAGAAATATTACTGGTTGCCCTGTTTCCAAAATCAACATTTTTTCAGATGATGCCAAACAAAAGCTAATCAAAGTTTCATCGGAAACGGTATATAACAATGTTTCAACAACAAAATCAACATTTTTCCAAAATCAACATTTTTTCAGATGATGCCAAACAAAAGCTAATCAAAGTTTCATCGGAAACGGTATATAACAATGTTTCAACAACATACGATTCTAAAATGAATTTTTTAGAAGAAGTTAATTCTGTGCAACCTAAAAGTGTTGGCTTGAGTCTTTTTGGTCAATTCAGCAAAAAATTTTTTTGCAAAGTAAAAAAGCTACAGATACTACCACCATCTCTAAGACATTTGTATGGTGCAGACACCAGTTTATTGCTTGATGAAAATCATGAATTGTTAGTCAGCCAGTTGGCCCTTAGTGATGCAGATGTTGTTTACATTGAGGAGGCAACAAGAACACAACATTATTCGTTGTCATGGCTATGCCAACGAGCAGGAAGAATTACTGGATCTGTAATTGGTGAAGTATACCATGCATCATTTGATAGCTCAAACGTGAATTTAGTGAGAAAAATTTGCCAAATAAATAAAAGTGTAATTAAAGCTCAAGCTTTAATGTGGGGAAAAAATCATGAAAAAGATGCTATAGAGTTTTACAAAAATATCTGCTCCGGAAACTCATGTCGAGAGAAGGCACTGAATGACAGCATCCCCATTCATGACGATTTTCATGTTGAGTCTATAGGGCTAAGTGTATTCAAAAATAAGCCATGGTACGGAGCTTCGCCTGATGGTGTAGTCTTTAGTTCTTGCTGTGGTTATGGTGTACTTGAGGTAAAGTGTCCTTATGCCCTACGAGATAAGTCTCTTCAACAAGAAATTGAAAGTGGTATGTTTTATGTTGGAAAAGAACAAGATGGTTACTTTCTTAGAAAAAGCCACAACTATTACTTTCAAGTACAACACGAAATTATGTGCACTGAAGCATTATTTTGTCATTTTGTGGTATGGACACCATCTGAATGTGTCATTGTTAATATTGAAAAGGATGATTTTTTCCTTTATAATATGTATGAACGATGCGATTTATTTTGGAAGAAATTTGTTTTACCAGAATTAATCACCAGGAATTTAGAAGGGTCCACATCATCATCTTGTGAAAACTCTAACCCTGAAGAAATTTATCCTCAAGAAAAGTTTATATATTGTATAAAAAATTGTGAGTTTCCTGGTGAAGTAGATAATATGGTGGGTTGCGATAGATGTGACAACTGGTATCATCCGATTTGTATTGGATTAAAGCGACTGCCAAAAGATAAAACGTGGTACTGCAAACAATGTGCAATCTTAAATAAAAAAAAACAATGATACCATTTTAAATTTTATTAGCTTTTATTTATAAGAACCAATAAAAAATTGGTGAAACTTATTTAGTTATGTTCTTATTTTAACATTGTCTTTTTCCTTTTCCCTACTTCACGTCAAAGTTATTGCAATGTTTTTTTATTTTGCAATAAATATTTAAACTTGCAGTAAATATTTAACCTCAAAATATTTCTTGTTAATGTTATAATTTTACTGACATTTAATTCTTGGTTTTTTTTAGATAAGTTTTATAGCAATATATAACATATAAAATTATTTGATTAAGAAAAAGTTTCTTTAGTATACAACTGATGAACGAAAAAAATCAAATTTTTAGCGACGGTGCAAAAACTTTAAAACAACGTATAAGAAATCAATGGTAATTAGAAACATTGACTATTTTTATAGCTTAGTTCAAAGTCTAACAGTTGCCTCAGGCACGATAACAGTTTCCCGCTCCAGAGCGACTCCAAGAAAAAAAATTAAAGTTATTTTAAAAAAATTGTTTTTATTACAGATACCTTTGGTAATATATAAGACATTTGATAAATGGTTTCTTAAATGGACTCATCCGTAAAAATAATATGTTATCAAAAATATCAGGTTTGAGTGAGGAACATAGATCGCTCAATATTTTAGTACAGAAAATAGCCCCTCTACACTAACTTGTAAGAGTTGCTATATATAATATCAAACATTGTAAAACAAAATATACCATAATAATATATAATTTACTTGTTTTGTTTTTTTTAATAAAGCGCACGAAGAAATGTTATTAGAATATCATTAAAAATTTGTACTGAAAAACCCTCTCCAGAGTTGGCTCCTTTAATAAATATTTTAGCTCTATCTACGGCTCGTCTCCATGTAAAAACACCAACTCCAGGTAGCTCCAGCATCAGAGCTGCTCCAATGATCAGTCACAACATTTTTATTGTTAGAATTATAGTTATAATTTGTAAACAACCAAATATAAGGAAACCAAAACATGCATGATTATTGTGTGAAGCGTAAGGTTGAATTGTGTCTAGATCTACTAATTCAAATCACAAGTGTCCGTAAAAATGTTAACTTCGGGGGCGGATACAGGATTTCTTGAAGTTAAGTAATTTTCAAGTAAGTTCTAAACTCTAAACCTTAGTATATTCATATTTATATCCAACAAGAATATAAATTCATCTACCGGTTTAAAAAATTTTTTTTCTTATATTTTAGTGTAAAAGTTATGACTATGAGAAGTTTCCACACACCCCAAAATGAGATTGTAAAAATTTTATATGGTCATAAATTTTAAGCAATAAAAAATTTGAAACCAGCCGATGAATTTAAATTGAGTATAAGATAGTAAAAGAAAATATTTAATTAACTCATAATTGGAGTGGGGTGTCTTACTTTTAGGGTTACGTTTTCAAGCTTCAACCATCGCAATTTTTTACAATCCAAGTTTAGAGTTTAGAAATTATTTAACTTAAACACACACCCCTCCTCTTCCATGGCTGGGATTCAACCAGATTGTAGTGGAATTTGTTTGTGGATTTCTTCCGCTGACTAAATAGTTTTACTTTTAGGATTATTAGGAAAAGTTTAAAAATTGGAATAACAAAACTTTTTAATATTAAAACTTACTAAATATTAAAAAGATTAAAAAATAATTTGTTAAGCTTAAAAAATATAAAACTATTTTTATAAAAGCAGTCATCTTAATTCAAAAAGTAGATTGAATATACATATATATATATATATATATATATATATATATATATATATAACAAAAATAAAATATTTTGCAAATTCAATGTCATATTTACATATCATTATTTATAATGCTTTCTCCTAAATTTGTCAGAGCAGCACACACAGAAACTATTTTGTCACAGTTTGCCAAAATACAGTTTGCATTCTCATCTTTAATATTTTTTATAATTTTCAATGGTATGACACCTTTCAATATAGTGTACCTGCTTTTCATCAATCCTATTAGGCGTTCAAAATGGATTCTAACAGAAGCAATTTTTCTTGATGTTTCTACTTCTTTGGCGGACAGCTGATTTTTACCCCGTGTAAAGGCCGGAATTAACAACTCAGCAGAACTCCCAGCAGCAAAGTCATCTTGAAGAGTGAATCCACGATCTGCTAAGATTTGGTCTCCTGGCATGTGTTTATTTACAAATCCAGATTCACGTGCAATTTGTAAGTCAGAAGCTCTACCTCCATAACACTTTGACAAAAAATTTATAGCACCTGTAGGAGTACAGGAAATTAATACTTTGATTGTGCAATGCTTTTTGTATTGACTGTAAAACTGAGCCCTTGCTAAAAGAGAAGATGGTGCTTCAACAAACGTCTCAAAACAATCAATTATAGATGTTAAACGTGGAAATTTTGCTTTAAAAACACCAGGAATTGTATCGTATATGTTATCTTGATCTTGCATTTTTATGAGAAAGTTGAGTTTCGAATACATTGTATCAAGCCATTTATAAAAATATTCAATTATGGTTGTTTTGCTAACATTAGAAAGGTATGCAATCAAATCAAAATTTAAATTTTGCTTTAACTTGATTATGGTAATAATAACCTGATCAGGTTTGCTAAGTTTTGTTGGTTTTCCAAACTCAAATGTGTTTTTACATATATAAACTAATATCTTTTCTAACACTTTATAATTTAATCCAGTCAGCATCATGCAAAATGAAGGGTTTTGCTTCAAGGCTTCTAAAGAAAATGGGAATACAGTTAATTTCAATTCAATATTTTTTATTTTTAACCAATCCCTTTCATTTTTTAGTTCATTTATTTCAAAATAAAGTTCCTCTCTTTCTGAAGTCGTTACAGGTGATTTGCCTTTTTTTAGTGTCCAGTCCCACGCAGAGTGCACAAAGTTTATTTTCGTCGATTGTTTGTTTATGAATTGCTTGTTAAAATACATCTTCTTCATCGAATTAATTAATGCCTGGTGCTAATTGTTCTATTTATGGGTGCAGTACTTCTAGGAGGCATAAGGGAGTTTCAATATTTAAAATTCCTGCATCTAGCGATAGTTTTAATACTTCTTGGAGGAAAAATCTAATTGCCATTATACTTAAAGATCGTATTGAAGATTGTAATTTGAAAGCTCAAATAGAAAGTAAATCTCTGTTTATTTGTGAAAAGCATTATCTTCCAGAAATGATACTTCATAACAATAACAAAAAGTCACTAAAACCTGGATCATTACCGACTATGTGCTTACCGAAAAAAGGTTTTATGTCATCGATTCCTGTACAAAGAGATTCTGCTTCTTCTATCATTGCTAAAAGAGATGCTTCAATGAATTCAAATAATATAATTGCCTTCAAGCCTATATATAAATCATATGAAGAATTTACAAATCGTATTAGCAAGTTAAAGATTTGTAAGTGGACAGAGAGTGTGAGTCTTGTTGTGGCAGAATTTAAACTTTAAGACACAATTCACCTATGTCCTCGATATGAAATATATGTTGATGACAGTCTTGCTTTTACCATTCGTGTATATTCTTGGCTCATTCCAGATGATCACTCAATATATACAAAATACAGAAGATCAATGCGAAATATTTCAGCTTCAAATCTTATTTCTGTTGTTACTTCTTTTAGCCTTTGCTCCGGAATAACTAATTTTTTTTCTTTAAAATCAAATCTTTATATTAAACATTGTATTTCTAAAAAGTTCGATTTATTTTCATCTAGGACTGAGTTTCCCCTGAATCAGACAGAGTATTTTCAATCTCAGTCATGTATTATGCTGATTGATTTGATGTTATCATGTTCTCAATGCAAATGCATTGAAAAAAGTGAAATCATAAGTTAGAAAAAAAATATTAATAATGCTTGTATCCCTGCTAAATTAAATGCACCAATTAAATTTACATCTCCAGATCGTCTGAAGCTTACATTACAGAGTGTTCGCCTGGAAAATAAAGAATTAAAAATGGAATTAGCTTTGATAAAGCAAGAAATTGAAAATTCATCACTAACTATAAGTAAAGATACTGAAAGTGATTTAGTTAAAATAATGTCAGGAGCTGATAGAAGAAAGATTTCTCCATTTATGAACCTGTTTTGGGAGGAGCAGCAATAATATTTAAAAAGCTCAAAACAAGGAACTCGTTATCATCCAGCAATAATACCTTCCTGTGTGGGATTGGCTGCAAAATCACCAGCTGCTTATGAAGCACTAAGATTAAATGATAAAAATAATTCTGGTTATTTAATTTTACCAAGTCGTAGGCGACTACGTGACTATAAAAATTATGTGAAACCCGAGCGACCAGACTATCTATTTCTTATGACTATGGTACTATGTAGGCAGCTCATACTCGAAGTGAATTAATTATTTAATCGGGTTTTGTTTCAAATCAAATTTAAATCAAATTTAATATAAAGTTACGAAAAATTTTGTCGGGTTTTAATTGCACATATAAAGCTTGAAGTCTCAAGTAGTCATTAAGTAGTCGGGTACGATTTCAATCTATTTAAGAGTGTCAGTAAGATTAACTCAATTCACTGAATTTAGATGAACTAATATCGTATTTTATTGATTTGTTACTAGAGAATATACTTTCTTTTTGTTGTATACGTAATATACAGGTTAATAAATATGAAACCAAGAGATATGTTAAGTAATAAATTTCTTTGCAGTCATTAGCTCTTTAAATTTTAAACAGAGGAGGGAAGTTTGCTAGCCCCGTCCTTTTCTGTAGAACTTTGCACTGCATTGCTGGCTGTCGATTCCTCCGTGGATGGTAGTTCCTTCGCGATAGACGTATTCGGTTGCAGCGAAAACGGGTTCAGTGTCAAATCTTTAACTGGTGGTTGAGGGTTAGTGGGTTCCGGAAATGTGATTACGGGATTCGAATCGTATTCCGGTAAATCGGAAAATTGCAGTCGTATTTGATCAATGTGTCGATGAATGACTACGTCGTCGGTTAGGATTTCAAAATTGACTGGTCCTCTCTGCTTTACAATTTGTCCCGGTATCACTTCGGACCACCTCCGAAATTCTTTGCCATCACCTGGTCTCCACAGTCGAATTTCCTCAAGTGTGCTTTTCTGTTACTGAGCCTTTCAGCTCTTTCTTGCTTTTCTTTCACACTATTATTTAGGTCCGGTTTTAGGTCTTGAAACGCACTACGCCATTTTCTTTTCATTAAAAGCTCTGCCGGTGGATATTCTGGTGGTCAATTGAGGGGTGATTCGGTATGAAAATAAGAATCGATTCACCGTAGTTCCAATAGAATTGCCTTGTCGAGCGGTCAACTTTTTCATCGCTTTCTTGAATGTTTGCACCGTGCGTTCAGCTTGCCCGTTCGAAGAAGGATGATAGGCAGCTGTGAAGTTAGATCTTATTGAATTTCATTTGACAAATCCAGCAAAAGCAGCACTGCTAAACGAAGTTCCATTATCACTAACAATTACCTGAGGAATCCCATGAATCGCAAATATACTACTCAATTGCTCGATAAGGTTTTCGGAATTAACATTTTTCATCACTATTGCCTCAATCTATTTTGAATAAACATTGCACATGGTTAAAAACATGTGTCCTAAAAATGGACCTGCATAATCAAGGTGTATTCTACTCCAGGGTTTTCTCGGATATTCCCAATGATGTTTCGGCGCACTTTCAGGGCTTCTTTGATGCAATGCACATAAATGGCATCGGCGCACCGTTTCCTTAATCGATTTGTCCGTATTGGGCCACCACACGTAACTCCTTGCTAAAGCTTTCATGCGTACCACACCCGGATGGGCACTGCGCAATTCTTTCAATATCATATCTTGTAACGATGCGGGTAGTACAACCCGGTCTCCCCATATTAGATTTCCTCCTTCGACTCCTAACTCATATTTTCTCGCTATATAAGGTTTAAATCCTGTTTTATTTGGAAACTGCAATTCACTAAGAACACCATCTAACACTTGACTTATGATTAGGTCTCGTGCTGATTGGATTTTTACATCTTTGGCTGAGACTGGTGTGCTGGATAGTTCCATCATTATTTCATTCTTTGCGACTGATGACTCGGTGTTTTTAATCGGCAATATGCTCATGCAGTCCGCATTTCCATGTGAAGCCTCACTACTTATTTCAAACAATATTTGTAAGCAAAAAGGGTTAACGCTCAACGCTGAATCCTTGCAGCAGTCATGGCTGGAATAGGCAATCATGTCTACCATCAATTTTATATTTTATATCTTTTAAGCAAGATACCAATTTGTACAAATGCTGCATGAGCTATTAACTGAGTGCTGTAAGTACACTAAAACTCAGAGGCTTCTTCTAGACTTATATTATTCTTAAATGCTATTATTCCATAATTATGATAAAAATATTTTAAAGTGTCACTTATATTGGTAAAAAAAAACAGGTCAGAATTTTAGTTATTTATAGTAACTTTTAAAACAAATAAAATGTAAATAATCATTTCTTATAACTTAAAGGATAATCACTAAGTACAATCGATATGAAAATGTATGTAAAAATACATTTGTTTAAAAAAAATGTATTTATTAAATTTTAAATATACAAATATTCAAAACACCTTTTTGAAATATCTCTTTAATTAAAGTTATATATAATGCTTACCTGCTGTTAAGAATTACGAATATATGTTATAGTTTGCTGACATTTTTTATATTATTAAACTGTATGTTGCAGTTAAATAATTTTATATGTATGCCGATGAGTTTATTCGCATAAAAGATTGATTAGATGACTAACTTCAAGAAACTATTTAATAATGGGTATAAGTCAGCATGTGTGTATGTAACAAGACTCTTTGTTTTCCATTTCTTGACATGACATATAATTATATCATTAGTCTTAAAGAGATTTATTGGTACGGAAATAATTTTGTATAATCTAAAAACTGATTTTATTAGATATTTGGTAGCAGTTAAATCTGTTTAAAATATATATCGCGACTGAGAAGAAAAAGAAAGTTCACCATAACATTATTTAACATATAAACTCAGTCAAAACCATCTAACAAGCTCTTTATTAAGCTGGGAAATCTTATTTAGCTAAGAGGTCTGCAAGAATGTTTAATAACAATATCAAATGCCAACAACTCACAGCCACATATAAACAAATGGAAACTGCAGCATCAGTGATCAAATTCATATTTTAAAGGCTTGAGATTCTTTTTTCTTTTGCTCACTCCAGTACTAAAATATCCAATGATATATATATACATAGATATCTAACTCCGTAAAAATTCCTTGATATAGGATGAGACAAATTTTTTCGGCGGAAGCCATTTTGAATACTGGCAAAACATCGTAAATAAGCGATGAAGCTTTGACTTGGTTTTACAAGAAACTATATACTACCTGACCTGTTTAGATTTATTTATTAAAAATGAAACAAAATAATCTTCATAGTATAGTTAATGTTGAAGAAGAAGTAATGTTGTTTTGAATTACTTTATCTGAAATTGAATTTAATTACTTTATCTGGTCGTTATTTTTATAATTGTAAACTTAAAGTAGTTGATGTTACTTTAAAGTTATAGTTTTAAAAATAAGTTAACTACCTTAAGAAGATGCTGCTATTTCTGACATACTTTGAAAAAACTGGATTAAAACTTTAAAAATTGAATACTTTGAAAAAACATGGATTAGATTGAGGAGGTATTAATTAAATACACTATTACCAGTA